GGACAGATTCCTGCAGGCATTGCTCCTCTCTGAGATGCTGCTGGGAGCTAATGCAGCTTTTCTGCGTCCTTTACCATGGACCCTAAGCCCCCTTGTTCCTTCCTCTGCAGTGCTCTTTTTTCATTGCCTTAAAGAAGAACCTTGCACTTTGGTTTCTCTTGCTTTTCCTCTGGTTGGCTATGGGATGCTTTCTCACAGATGGTCCACCTCTGGGATAAGCCGTACAACATCCCGAACGAAAACCTCTCTTGGACGGCTTTCAATCAATAAATACTCAATATGCCAACCAAGGTTGTGCTGTCCCAGAAATGCACCTGGGACTCTGGCAGGTTCTGGGAAGAGTTAGTTGCTTCTCTTAATGGTTTTGGTTGCTCAGTGCATTTTCCACTTAGTTTCTCTGTTCATATCCCATGTCAATTAAAAACCCTTCAATGTGGGAATTCCCTGGTGGTCCAAGGCTTAGGGCTCTGCTCTTCCACTGCAAGTGGCATGGGTTTGATCCCTAGTGGGGGATCTAAGATCCTGCATGCTGCATGGTGTGGCCAAAGGAAAAAAACCCCAAAACAAACAACAACCACAACCAAACTTTCTACAGCAGAAACCAACATAATATTGTAAAGCAATTATCCTCCAATTAAGAACCCCCCCAAAACCCCACAAAATGAACAAACAAACAAAAAAAAAAACAACCTTCAATGGCTTCCTAGTGCACTTGGACTAAAACCCAAACTGAGGAGCCCTCCAAAGGCCCCCTGCGGCCCAGCCCCTGCCTGCCTCTCTTACTTCCTCCCACATCAATCTCTCTGTTTAGTTGCATTGGGTCCTTCCTGTTCCTCAAACGTGCCAAGCTCTTTTCTACCCCTGGGTTTTTGTGCTTATTGCTCCCTTTGCTTGGAACATGCGTCCTCATCTTCCTCATGGCTGAATTCCTCATCCATTGGGTTGTGACTTCCTCAAAGAAGCCTTGTGTGACTACTCTATCCGAAGACATAATACTGATTGCATCCAGTTACTCTTTACTACACCCCTCCTCCCCACTCCGCTTTCTTCCTTCACAGGGTTTATTACATCATGCAACTATCCCATACGTTCTTTGCTAGTCTATTGTCTGTTTCCTTCTCCATCTCAGCCAAATGATGCTCTGGGAGGGCAAGGACCTTGCCTGTTTTGTTCACTATTATATCTTCAGCACCTACTGCATCACCTAGTGCCAACTGTGTATCAAGCACTGTGGACCAAAATCCCTGCTCTTATGGAGCTTATATTCTAGTGGAGGAGACAGAGAACAGCTGTCTTAAACAAATGAATGATGAAATTTCAAGTACTGATGAATACTTTAATAAATAAAACAGTGTAAGGGGACAGAATGTGCCTCAGGGGATGCAGACAGGTGGTGGTAGTTAGATAAAAGTGATCAGGAGAGGAGGTGTTGGAAGAGAGAACAGATTGCTGGGACAGGGCAGACCTTTGAAATTATGGGGGGACAGCAAGTGTAAGGGCCTCAAGGCAGCGGCTAGACTGAGGGGTTGAGGAATAAACAGGAAGCTGGTGTGGCTAGAGTGTGATGTGAGCCGGGGGAGAAGGGTGGGAAACAGAGGCTGGAGACAGAGGGAGTGGTAAAATAGCCATGCGGAGAAGGGAGGATTGGGTAAAGAGTTTGCATTTTTTTCTAAGTGTGATGGGCCACATCTGTACAGCAATATTCAATTTCCAAAGCACTCACACTGTCCCACTTGATCCTTACAAGAACCTCTGAGGTTAAGTAGAACAGATGATAGTTAATACCTTTTATCAAGAAGGAAACCAGCATTTGATCATTTTATCAAGAAGAAAACAAAGTTCTACCAAATTAGAAAACTTGAGTCACACAGTTCAAACAAGGTTCTTTATTTTTTTAAAAAAATATTTATTTTATTTATTTGGCTGCGCCAGGTCTTAGTTGTGACATGTGAACTCAACTGTTAAGTTACTCTTAAGTTTTGGCATGTGAACGCCTAAGTTGCAGCATACGGGATCCAGTTCCCTGACCAGGGATTGAACCTGCACCTCCTGCATTGGGAGCACGGTGTCTTAGCCACTGGACCACCAGAGAAGTCTCTCATACAAGATTCTTTAAATCAGTGGTGTTTAACCTTGGCTGTGCATGGAAATCCTCTGGGGGAGCTCTCTGCAAAATACTTCTATCTGGGTTCTGTTTCCTGAAAATGGATTTAAGAGGTCCAGGGCATGGCCCAGGAGGATTGTTAAGGCTCTACAGGTGATTCTATGGGGGCTGAAAGCACTGCTCTCAATCTGCCCACTTTTCACTACATAAACTGCCAGCTTGACAGAGCTTTTCCACTAAGCTGCGCACTAAAATCATAGGGGAGTTTTCTAAGACTTACAGAGGCCCAGACCCCAGACTAGACTCTAAAAATCAGAATTTCTGGGGTTGTAGGGACTTCCCTCTAGGTCCATTGGTTAGGACTCCGAATTTCCTTGCGGGGCTGGGGGGTTGGAGGCAAGGGGTGGAGGTTGTCTGGGAACTGGGATCCAGCATGCCACCCTAAGAGGCCCCCCCCCAAAAAAAAAGAATTTCCGGGGTTGGGGCTCAAGCACTAGCTTATTTAAAAGCACTTTACGTGCCTATCTGCCTTGGAGCTACCCACATTTATTTTTAAATTTTTCCTGTCTGTTCTTGTCTCCTTTATTGTTCCTTTTGGGGTTTATGCCTTTTTATTCCTTTCCTGTCATTTTCATGGGACTTTAGGAAGACATGAATTTAAATGGGTATACCAAACATACCATGTTGAACTGGAAATTTGCTAAATTAAAATTAAAAAAATTTTTTTTTTCTGGTCACACTGCACAGCTTGCAGGATCTTAGTTCCCTGACCAAGGATGGAACTTGGACCCTTGGCAGTGAGAGCATGGAGTCCTAACCACTGGACCATCAGGGGACTCACAAACAACTAAATTTTAATTATAGCGGTTATATGCACACACAAAATGAAAAATTATATGTACATTCACTGTAAAAAATCAAACACTACAAAAGGGTACAGTATACACTGAAAGTACTCCAGTTTCACCTTCCCATTTCCATTCTTTAGGGTTAGCTGCTAGTCTGCTCGTAACAATTTCATAGTTAAAGTTCAATTAAAGTAGTTGTTTTTAATATATTTTCTCTCTGTAGTTTAAATTTTTCCATTTTAATTTAAATGTCTTTATGCCTTTTGCTGTGTTCTTCATCTTTATGCTTTAAAAAAAAACTATTTTTATTATTGTTATTTTATTTTTTGACCATGCTGCTCAGCATCCAGGATATTAGTTCCCTTAGACCCCAGAGATCAAGCCTGCGCCTTCTGCACTGGAAGCGTGGTCTTAACCACTGGCCCACCAGGGAAGTCCCCCTGCTTTTTTATAAGACTTTTCCTACGCCTCGGCTGCTCCCTAACACCCATCTCCCGGGGGATGCCTGTTCAGCCTTTGATTCTCAGCCTATCAGCTCTTAGTTTGTAAAACATTTCAAAATCGCTTGGGCAAAATTAATGTTTCCTTCTTTGTCTTCCTATACTACTTTGTTCATGACTCTATCTTAATGCTTCTGATACCATTTGGAAATTATTCATTTTCTTGTGTTAGCATCTATATATTGGTACTTCCCTGGCAGTCCAGTGGTTAAGATTCTGCACTCCCAATGCAAGGGACACAGGTTTAATCCCTGGTCAGGGAACTAGATTTCCATATGCTGAACAGTGTGGCCAAAATATTTAAAAAACAAACAAAAAAAAACACCTACACATTGCAAACTTGAGGTGGGGGCGGGGGGCGCTGTATCATGCATCTCTGTACTACGTTCTGTACTGTGGCTTTGGATTACAAGTGTCTTCTCCCAAGTGGTCTTGTCTTTTTCTTCGTGCCTTTTGATGAGGGAGTTCTTAACTTTCATGTCATCCACATTTACTAAAGTTTTCTATACCATTTGTGCCAATGTTATCTAGTAAACCCTTCCCTGAGATAGTAAGTAGGAAATTTTCCTTTATTTTCCTTCAGAAGTTCTGATTTTACTTTTTCCTTTTAAATTCTTCAATCTATTTAGAGTTAGACTTTGTCTTGGGGGTGTGTGTTAGGGGTCCAACAGATAAGCAGTTGGTTCAGCTCAGGTACTGAATAATCTATCTTTCCCTATTGATCTATTAATATAATGCCCGCTCTGTCATATATCAAGATTCCACATATGCCTGGATTGTTTCTGAGCTCTATAGGCTGTTTCATTTCCCCCCTCTCCCTATCCCTATGCTAATATCCCATGGTGCTAATTTTTAAAGTTTCATAATAAATGTTGATATATAGAAGGATAAGTCCTTGAAACATGTTACTCTTCCTCAAGAGTGTTTAGGCGATGCTTTGTCCTCTGTTTTTCCATATAAATTTTAGCTTAGCTTGTAAATGTCCACGGAAAATCTTGTTGGAAAATTTATTAGAATTGCATTGACAGATGAATCTTCCACCCCATCTCTACCCGCCATGAAGTATATACAGCTCAAGAGATGTTTGTAGAATGAATGAAGGTCTGATGATCATTTCCAAAGTACACCTTATAAACACACATTCCATAAAAAGAGGTCAGTGAATGAATGGATGAGGGACAAAGATGACTAAGATAGAGCAGCAACTGTGTACAATTTTCCCTTGCCTGTCCCAATACCTTATTTTAAATACACAAAGCCACAACTCCATCCTCTTACTGAACATAAATCTATGACCAGTTTGGAAAGCCTCCTGGAGAAAATTTTTCAGGCAGGCTCGCGTCCGCAGCACAGGCAAAGAAACAGGCTACCTGCTACCCGCAGGTCAAGTGTCTGCGACGCCTCGGCCTCCCGAGGTGCAGCGGTCCAGAGGGAGCGCGGTTTCTCCGGCCCTCGTCCCCGCGGCTGAAGGCACCAGAGAACTACAACTCCCGGCAGGCCTCGCAGCGCCCCGGCTTAACCAAGCGCAATCTGGGGGGTGGCGGCAAAGTTGCCCTCGAATCCCCGCCGCCCAGGCTGTGGCTGGAAGCCGAGCGCCGCGTCTTTCTGCTTCCCCACCCGGGTGAGTAGGGGCAGCCCCCCTCGGAGGCCGAAGCCGAGCCCGGGCCGCCAGGGGCCGCGGGAGCGCGGGGAAGCCGCAGTGGACGCGCCTCCGCCGGGGCTGCCGGTCTGGAGGGCACCCTACGCTAGTGCCCTTGGCACCCGCGGGCCCGGCGCGCGGCCACGTGACTCGGGCGACGGGCTGGGGCCCCGCCTCCTCCGCGGCTGCTCGCGCCGGCTCTCCGGTGGGCGGAAGCGGGGCGCGCTCCCGCGTGTCCGGTGGAGCCGGCTGGAGGAAGGTAGCCAGTGGCTCACTCAGACCTCCTCAGGCCCTGTGGTCTGTGGCCTCCGAGGCGCAAGCGTCCCGGGGCCCGAGCGCGGTCTGGATCAGAAGCAAGGGCGCGGGGTTATCTCTGCCCTCCGCCTGGGCCCGCGACGCCCAGCAGCTCGCCTTATCTGTAGCACTGGCTGAGGCTTCCCTGGTGGCTCAGATGGTAAAGAATCTTGTTCAGTTCAGTCGCTCAGTTGTGTCCGACTCCTTGCGACCCCATGGACTGCAGCACTGCCAGGCTCCCTGTCCATCGCCAACTCCCGGAGCTTACTCAAACTCATGTTCCCTGAGTCGGTGATGCCATCCAACTATCTTGTTCTCTGTCGTCCCCTTAAGAATCTTATCTGTCTGAAGTGCAGGAGTCCAGGTTCTATCCCTGGGTGGGGAAGATCCCCTGGAGAAGGGGGAATGGCAACTCACTCCAGTATTCTTGCCTGGAGAGTCCCCATGGACAGAGGAGCCAGGTGGGCTACGGTCCATGGGGTCACAAAGAGTCGCTCGCGACTGAGCGACTTTTTCACTTTGCTGGGCTCTGAGCTTCCGGATGGCAAGGTAAACGTATGCTGATGACAGCCGGTATGTGGAGAGCTGCCTCTAGAAGACACGTACCGAGAGCAGCTCTCTCCCCGGGTTAAGTGACATTTACTTTGTACTGACTAGAAGTCATTCGATTCAACAAATACTTATTGATCACCTCCGTGATTCTTGGCACCTGGTGCTCAGGAAATATTTGCGGAGTTGAGAGTGAGTTAGACTTTATCTGTGCCTTCACACGTTTTCTTTAAGCAGTAGTCCTCAAACTTCAGCGTGTATCAGAATCACCTGAAGGGCTTGGTACAACACAGAAACCTGGACCACATCCCCAAAGTTTTTGATTCAGTAGGTCTGGGGTTCCCAGATGGCTCAGTGGTAAAAAAAAATCCTCCTGCCAAAGCAGGAGACGCAGGTTCAATCCCTGAGATGGGAAGATTCCCTGGAGTAGGAAATGGCAACCCATTCCAGTATTCTTGCCTGGAGAATCCCATAGACAGAGGAGCCTGGAGGGCTACAGGCCATGGGGTCACAAAGAGTCTGACATGACAAGCAGCCACACATGCACAGTTCTAGGGTGGGGAGCAAGTATTTGCATTTCTAACTTGCTGGTCTGGGGATGCACTTTTGAGTATCCCTGTTTTGTAGGAAAGAAATCCTGTGAACTTACAGCAAGCACCAACTCTTCACTTCTGGACCTGGGTCTTTCTATGCTGGTGCCCGTTTAACTTTGGTAGTGATAGTAAGCATGTACGTATTACTTTGTTCACTGTAACTTCCCCCATATTTTATACAGATTTTCGTGTATAGGTCTACGTGTGTCAGTTTCCCTGAGTTACATCCTATTTTATCTTACTGTGTCTTTGCTTGGCCATTTCTCAGCAGCCCTCAGGATGTAAAATTTGACCTCTGCTGGTAAAGTTTACATTTTTTTTCCTTTCTGATATACACATTTTCTTCTCGCACAAGGGACCTGTAAGATAAGAAGAGTGCTTGGTTCAGGCATCCACCCCTCCCTACCACGACTCACTGAATAAACTATTTCGGTTCAGCTATATGCATCAGAGGCACACAGCAAGCCCTGTTCTCATCTGCTTTGTGTGCTCTTGTTTGGATCAGACACACTTGTATTCAAGTTCTGGCTGCATCACTAAGTAGCTTTCCAGCCAGCTTTCTTACCTTTTCTAAAACTCATCTTCCACTGTAGAATAAGGATCTAATAGGATGCACCCCAGAATGCAGTTGTGTGAGTTACATGAAATGTTTAAGCACATTGTTCTTCCTGAGTCCCCCTCTCTCTGGATGAAATGAGTGGTAAATTCTACTCCTTGCCTGAGTGAGATTTATTTTTCCTCTCCACTCCGGGACTTTGGCATCAGTTGGGGATTCCTCAGCATTGATTTGCGACATCGAGTCAGTGGATGGTATCATCCCCTTGGTCGCTTTTTGCCTATATCAATAACGAGATTTCCCTGAAAACCTGATCACTCTCTCCAAAGGTATTATTGGGCCTTTTCCAGTCTTGGGAGCAGACCAAAAGAAATACTGCTTGTCTGTCTAACAGTCTCTTTAGGAAATGGGAGGGGTGCTGTGGTCACTTTATGGGATTAATGGGATTAGAGCCTTAAATTCTTTCCTCTGTGGTCATTCTCACCTGTGTAACCAAATAGGATGCAGTGATTCTAGGGTTACTGTCCTGGAATACGGGTTGGGAAAGAAGCAGCAGGTGGATGGTAGTTGAAAAGACCCAGCCGAGTGAACAGGAAGTGCTTGGTTCCCTACTTAGTTCAATACAGGGGATGGAATTGCATTTGACCATCAACTTATCAGACTCTGCTCTGGCCTTGTCTCATGACTTGCTGGTATGTTTCCTGAGGTCCAGCAAGATGGATCCCTTTCTCATCCTTGACTTGACAATAACGTAGCTGTCCTAAACGTTTCAGAGCCTGGAGTTGGTGGCTTCTAGTGACGTGCTTTGATTGATCTTGTGAAATGCTGTTCATTTCTGGGGTGCCAAGCAGCGGCTTCCCTGTGCCTGGCTCTGTTTGGGGTTGGTAGAGGGTCAGAAGTCTCAGTGACTGATGCAGCTACTTGAGAATGGAGGTGAGATCGATGGTGGTTGGAGGTCTGCGAGTCCCCATCGGGGAGGTCACATGCCATAAAGGGAACGGCTGAAGGGATTTCCGTTGTGTGTCTACGTGTGTTAGTTGCTCAGTGGCGCTGGACTCTGCGATTCCATGGACTGTAGCCCACCAGGCTCCTCTGTCCTCTGTCTACTCTGCCGTTTACTAGCTGAGCCACCTGGGGGTGAATCCCTCACCCTTGCTGCTCATTGGTGTCCTCATTTCTACCTGGGGATGGCAGTGATATTGTCTCACCTCACTGGTGAGGGGGATGTGTGGAACAGCTGTCCTCAGCCTCTGAGATCTAATTCCTGGTGATCTGAGGTGAAGCTCCTGTAATAATAATAGAAATAGAGTGCACAATAAATGCAATGCATTAGAATCATCCCCAAACCATCCCCACCCCTCACCCTAGTCCATGGAAAAATTGTCTTCCATGAAACCGATCCCTGGCCCCAAAAAGGTTGGGGACCGCTGGTGTGGAATAACTAATGAGATAATGAGTGCAAAGGGCTGTGTGAAGGTCAGTTATTGCCAATATTATTATCTGATGGTTAGGTTTTGGGGTCCAGGGTCCTCAGGCACTCCCCCTCTCACCCTCAACTGAAAAAAAAGAAGAATGTGATGGTATGAGAGACAACTCAGGTGAAGGTCAAAAAGGCAAGTAAATAGAACTGGGCAGGTGATTCATTAGCAAAAGGTTTAATAATGAAAGGTGTTTCTCACGACAGACATATTTCACGGCTGACAGAATCTTTTAAAAGACCCCGAGGGAAGCAACTCATTTACATGTTAAAGACTCACTGACACCTTTTAGAAAACTCCAGCTCCAGTCTATTTAGACACAGTTGGGCTCTTATATCATCTATTTTATGTTTTTCAATTTCCACCTCTTTTATTACTGAGGGCATTTGCATGAAAACTGGGACTTGGGAGTTGTGTCTGCTTCAATGCTGCTTCCCCTCTCAGAGGTGGTCTGGAGGCTGGGGGAGGCCTGTTGCCTAGAGGGACAGGCCTGGAGGATGGTGCAACCTCAGGAGGATGGGGTTGGGGAGGGTGGCTGGGAGGCGGGGCTGAAGATAACTGGGGGAGGATGGCAGCCCTGGGTTTGTGATTCTTACCTGGGGACCTGTGTTGCTACTGACTCAGTACAGGTCTCACAGGTGTAGTTTATCCATCTCAGCAGGCCCCCAAATATGGGGTGGTTAGTTTTTATGGGCTAGGTAATTTCATAGGCTAATAAGTGGGAGGGTTTATTCTGACTGTTTTGGGGAAGGGGTGGGGATCTCCAGAAATTGGAAATTCCCACTTTTGACCTTTTGCCTTCAGCCTCAGAACTGCCATGGCACCTGTGGGTGTGTCCTTTAGCATGTGCTAATGTATCACAATGAGCGTATAATGAGGCTCAAGGTCTACTGGAAGTCAAATCTTCTGCCATCTTGGGCCTAATTGGTTCTAACTAGTTTATGTCATATCTTTTAACAGCTATGCCATTCTTTTAAAGGCTGTGCTCTGCCCCCTTCCCTACTGATTCATTTTGAGTGAGGTGGGCACCGTTGGAGAGTTTAGAGAAGAGGAATGTATAGTTGGACTTAAGTTTCCATGTTGAAGATAGACTGGAATATTTTCACTCTTTCATTCATTCAGTGGTTTTTTTTTTTTTTTTGCAGGGTTTTTTTTTTTTTTTTTTTTTTTTTTTAAAGCAGGGTTACTTATTCATTTATTTATTTGTTAGCGAATTCTGCCCTTTGCATCTAGTGGAAAAGGCAGACATTGGACCAGATTATTAGAGGTAAAAACAGTGCACAATAAAACCAGAGAGGAAGGAGCAAGGAAGGCTGGGAGGTTGGCTGACAAAAGGCTTCGTAGAAGGTCAGTAGGGGATTGACTGTGGGAGATGAAGCTGGAAAGGTGGATAGGGATGAGAAGAGGGGTGGGTCTTGAATGCCTTGCTAGAGAATTTGGACTTTTTGGTAGATAGTTGGGAGGTAGGAAAATCAGAGATACCAAGGGAACATTTCACGCAGAGATGGGTTC